CTGGAGGGATGAAGCGGCCAAGTCTGGATGCAGCTGGGGCTGAACAAAGCCAGGCAGAAGTTACAGAGGCAGGTTTTTCTTTGCAGCTCGTAGTGTGCCTCTGGTTCTGCTCCTGCAGAGGTGAACTGGGGCAGTCGATCACAGGGGTGTACCCTAAAGAGAGAGGTTGACTTGATTTCTGGAGGTGTGACTGAAGGCATGGAGGTGGAAGGGACTTGGGAAGAGGGGAGGTGCTAAGTGAAAGCTCAGCTGTGCGCCCCAGCACTGGCTGTGTTGGGCTCCCCACGGGATGACGGTGTTGGTCTTGTTCCAGCCGAGTGCCAGCACAGTGCCCGGGACATCCTCCACAGCATGGGCATGGCTGCCAGGAGGAACTGCACCGACTCGCACAGCTTTTCTACTGCTGACTACGCAGCCGGCTGGGAAAGGGCGGCTGTGAACGTGACGGCTGCATGGTCCTACTCACCACCCGACCTGACGGGGTAAGGAGCTGTCCAGCCTGCACCCGCGCCCCTGCTCCTTCTGCCAAAGACAGCACCTATTTACGCTGATTTGGTGCCCCGGGTGGTTCCCAGCCCTCACCTTGGTGAGGCCCCTGAGCCTGGCAAAGCGCAAATAAACACGGAAATGCTGAAGGCCTTCCCTGAACCTGTCCGTGCTGGCAGCGTGAATGGTGGGAGGCACGTAGCTTCCCTGGAGACATGCATGTCACCTCGGGCTGCCTGAGCGGCAGCGTGGTGCTGTTCTCAGGGGCCAGGGCCAGAGGGGTCAACTCTCCAGCTCCAAGGGCAGAGACAAGCTGCAGAATGAGGTAACCCAGACCAAAGAGCAGCGCTAGTTTTCTGTTAAAGTGGGTTATAGGAGATTGGCCTTTACCAGCATAGTGGACATTAAATCACGGCCGGTGTCTGCTCTGGTTTGTTCCTGGATGCGTCTCTGTTGAAGTCTGGGGCGCCACAGGGCTTGGGGCTGTTTGGAGGTTGGGAACACTGGGGTGGATCAAGGCGCTTCTGTAATTTAGGGACGGGGTTTAGTGGTGGGATGGCAGGGTTAGGGTAATGATTGGGCTTGATGATCTTAAAGGGCTTTTCCAACCTGAATGATTCTATGATTCTATGAATTTGTCTTATGAAATAAATCATGAGGCAGCTGCGCCCTTGGAAGTGCAGCACAGGCGTCAGGGTCTGCATCTGTGCACTTGCTCCTGGCCTGCTGTGTTGGACAGCGTACCAGTGGCTGCTCTGTCCTTCATCCTGTGGCTCCTCTTCCTCTGCAGGGTCTGGTACTGGGGTTACATCTCCTTCTATGATAGTAGCGGTTATGTCCAGGAGCTGGGGGCTTCGCTAGAGGAAAGCAGAGCTCAGCTGAATTTCCTTCAGCAGCACACTTGGATTGACAACATGTAAGTGTGGCAGGGCGAAGGAAATGCTCTACTGTCACTCAGGTTTTTAAGGGGTGCTGCTGGGGCATCACGGGCGTAGAGGATCTACGATCCTACAAAACAGTGGCACCAAAACCTAGAGTTGGTATTGTCCCAGTGCCCTGAGCTGCTCTTCTCCCCTCCCCAGGAGCCGGGCAGTCTTTGTGGAGCTGATGCAGTATAACCCCAGCGTGGACCTGCACGCTGCCATCACCCTGCAGCTGGAGTTCCTGGGGGCTGGCCAGGCCATCGCCGCTGTCTCCATCAGCCCCTTCCCGCTGCTGCGGCTCAGCGGGGGCGTCACACTGCAGCTTCTCATGATGGTCAGTGTGTTACCTCCCCTCCGTGCTCCTCTTCCCTCTCGGTCACTGCACAGGAGGCTCTGGAGACCTGGTTCTCCTGGAAGGACAGCGTTGGCCACTGTGGACTAAAGCTCCCCTGCCTGAGGCTGCTTGTCCCCCATGCCTGTCACCACTCCACTTCCAGGCCTGGATAGAACACAGAAAACATCACTGGCACCACTGAGGGGAAGGAGATTTCTCCTGTCTGGCAGCATTTGTTGGTCTTGTCTTGGCTTTTTTGCTTCCTTGAACTCAATGCCTCTCTCTGTGGAAACTCGAGGCTTTTGTTCTTCTGTCTTCAGCGGGGACATCAGCCAGCTGAGCCGTGTCCCCAGAGACCCTGCCTGGGCCAGGGTTCAGCGTAAGCGGAGCCCTCTGCCCCTGGGCACTGCTGCACTGTTGCCCTGCCACAAGTGCATCGGATGTGGTTTGGGGAGCTTCACTGCTAGGGCAGGAGGGAACGGGGCACGGAGCCAGCCAGGAAGGTGTGGAGGGGCTCTGGGGTGTGCTCCAGCTGTAGGCTGGCAGAACTTGGCCTGGGACATGGGGCTTCTGCTGTCCTGGGGTGCTGTAGGGTCCCCCACTGCAGCACAGAGGTCAAACGTTGCCCTCTCCTTTTGCTGGTAACGTCTCCATTCCTCCCCCAGGTCTTCCTCATGGTGTTTGTGGTCTACTTTGTGGTGTCTGAGTCACTGTCCATCAAGAAGGAAGGCAGAGCCTACTTCACCCTGTGGGGCAATTACGGCCAATGGGTCTTCATCCTCCTCACCACTTGCACCGTGGTGGTGCACCTCAGCCAAGCCACCCTTGCTGACCAGCAGTGGCTCAAGTACCTCAACAACCGCAAGGGTTTCACCAACTTCTACCAGGTGGCTTTTCTCAACACCGTCTTCAGCACCTTGGCTGCATCCCTCCTCTTCCTCCTGACTGTGCAGGTATGGAGAGGGTTGGGTGGGAGCAGCACGGGGGCAGGGATGTGTGCTTTGGTCTCCCTGTGCCAGCTTGTCCATGCAGTCCCACAGCAAGGGTAGCAAAGGGCCCTGAGGTAAAAACAGATGCAAGACTGCGGGGCTGCTGCCACATCCAGACTCTACTGCAGGATGGAGGTGGTGGACAGCGATGCCACAGAGGCTCTGGGGCTCTAAAGCCTCTGGGCCCTTGATTCCCTTGGGGATTTCAGCCTAGTGTGGCTGATGGGATGGTTTTGTCTCCAAGGAGCCCCTAGGCTGCTCTGCCGGAGTTTGCATCTCT